AAGTTTTTCCATGATGTTAAATAACCTTTCCTCACATTGGGGAATATTTTGTTTTTTGTATGATTATAGATGTTGAAATCTGCTTCATCCATAGGACTCTCACCCTCACCCCTCCTCCCCCCACCCTGTGAAAACCTGAGCAATGATTTGGAGCTTGCTACCATCATTCAATGGATGTGTGTGTTGAGGTGTTAGTATGGTTGTTTTTATTCTGGGGTTATTTTGTTAGGCTTTAATTCATTCCTAAGAGTGCAATGGTGTAAGCTTGTGCCTATGAGTTTTGATTCTTATAGTAGGAGTAAGGCTAGGGAACTGCGCAAAAGGTCTCGTTACATGTTTACAGAGTGGTTGGAATGGGCTGAGAAATTCCAAGATCAAGTCTTGTGTAATTTTACTTTTCTCTGACTTTGGTTGAAGAGCTAAAAGGACTGTTTATCTTAACTTAAATTGTTGGGCAATTTTCTTTTGATGTTTCTTGTTTGGGAGGGGAGGGGCGGAAGGAGGTTCTTTGGTGTGGGTAATTGCTTTGCTTTGAAAACAATATTTTGCTAGTCATCTGACATTTCTGTCAAAAAATGCCATTTTTTGTTTAGATGCTTGCCAATCACACAATCTCAAACAAATGCACAAGAGTGATGTGATCTTGTTGTAGGCTTGTACTCCATCTTTGTAATTCTTTAATTCTACATTGTTATTATTTTGACTGGATTGGCATGATAGCTGTTAAGTTTACTGGGGATGCTTTGCATTATCTTTAATCTTGCTTGGACTGGAATCTAGTAAAGCAGCAAATCTATCTGCTCATGTTGGTGTTTTTCTTTAATCTTGGTTGAAAATGTAGATTTGCATGTAAAGCTCATCTTGATTTTATTTCAGGTTGGCTTGTCAAACATCCTGGAAAGCATTGTGGAGACTCTCAAGGAGAAGCAAGAGATTTCCTATCTTTTTTTAAAGCCAGTTTCCAAGAAGGATGCTCCTGACTACCTTGATATCATAAACCGACCGATGGATCTGTCCACAATCCGTGAAAAGGTGAGGAGGATGGAGTATAAAAGAAGCGAAGAATTTAGGCATGACATATGGCAAATCACCTTCAATGCCCATGCGTACAATGATAGACGCAACCCAGGTATTCCTCCAATGGCTGATCAGCTTCTGGAGCTTTGTGACTATTTATTAGATTTGAATGATGCTGACTTAAGGGAAGCTGAAGCTGGTATTGAACATGGAGATTGATAGGGAATTTTTTTGATGTGCCTCTTCATTCCAGTTAATTTAGAGAATCCCTTAGTGAGAGCCTTTTTTTTTTTTTCTCGCTTCTCTCCTTTCTTGGGGTTCCTAGCACCTGGGGGATGGAAAAACGTCCCCAATCTGTAGAATCTGTCTGTATATTCTGAGTTTTCTGTGACATATACGCCCTGTGACTCTTGTCTATTTATACAAGAGAAAAGGAAATAGAGAATATAATACTTAGAGCTCCTTATTTTTGTTTTCTCTTGGTGGGTTCTTCTTTGATTTTTCTCGATACTTTTCTTGATGGCAGATGCTTATTGCAGTTATTATTCTATGAGAAAATTGAGCTGTTGTTTATAGGTCTTCGCTTTTCTAACACCAAAAAAGTCGATAATGAAACTTGCAACACCACTGCTGCATATTTATACATCTCTTCTTTCTTTTTCTTTTTTTTTTCTGTCAAAAAGAAACTGTTCAACTGTGGATGCAGTTGTGGTGCATTGCAGGGAATGGTGGTTGTGGCTTGGTAGTAATTATTGATAGTCCTTATTCTTTTATTTTTTTTCATATTAGTGTTATCATGTATTTGCAATCTCAGGCTCGCTCTAAAAAAATAAGTATGTAAACTCCAGGTCTAATGCGGTTGATTTGCCAAAAAATGAAGAAAACCCACAGCCAGGGCTTCTGGCAGTAAACGCAAAATAGGCACGGGGAAATGATTCTTTGCTGTAATGGAAAATTCGGAATATTCTTAGTACCAGCATCTTTGATTAATCTGGCAAAGCAGACAATACGCTTTACATATATCAAATTCCTTAAAACACAATTGGCACAGAATCAGAGACAGAAAATCAAGCGGCCAATAAGATTTTAGGCCACTTTCCCTGCCAATTCAATCCATGAAATTCCAGAAACAAGGTACAACATAATCAGACATCCAAAAGGTCGCTAGATTGCAATCAATTCCACCATTGATGCACAGCAACCCCTTGATCTCTCAAGCTTCCGTACAAAGCTAAACACTGCCAATAGGCCCTCTTGCTTTCATTTTCTTCTTCCACTCCATCATCTTGAAAGTGGTTCTTGCACTCTAAGAACAACTCATCCACCAAGCAGATTGTCTTCTCCTCCATCATCTCATCAACAACCTGTGCTTCTGCCTTCATTACAACGAAGTCTTCTTGCCTCGCATTATTCTTCAGCCAACCTGATATCCCTGCAGCAGGATTCACCATGCTTCTTGATGACAATTTTTCTGCAGTAATCTCTAGATTGTATGTCTCAAAGTGTTGGTTTTCGGTTGGATAGTTGTTGTGAAACCAACCTTCAAAACCACTTTTGTCATCTGAAATCAAGATCCTTCGTCTATAACTTGCCAGGGAGTGGAAGTCCCCTAACAGATGAGGAAGGAATTTGATTTTCCTCATTTCATCTCTCGAGGACTTCAACAATGTCCTTCTGGGAGGCTCGAGCAAAGCATCCTCTAAGCCTTTCAATGCCATTTTCCTGGCGTCTTGTGCGATCCCACAAGGGATCGACCTTTTGGCTGAATTAGTCAAGCCATCTTTACTGCTAATTTTCCTCATTGCAACCATGGTATTCTCAAACCGTCGCAGATACACAATCCTATAATTTGATTGTCGTTGCATCAATCTTGAAGGATCATTGCTCAACTTTGTGATCACAATGCCGCCATTCTTCAGAACGCGGTCGACGGAATCAGCATTCTTGAAGCTGAAGCTGAAAACGAAATCAAAAGTTTCATTCGGAATGGAGTCCTCCAAGTTGGTTTCAGAGGCCACAATATTATCACTGTCACTCACGAAGTCCAAATCTTTCATCAAATCATCAAGGCTAGAACCCACGATGAGGCCTTTCTGACCCCTCTTGATCAGGCCTTCGTCGGCCAAATCACGAAAAAGAACAGGCAATATTTTGAAATTAGCCAGATCAGAGTTCACCTTAGAAGCATTGGAAGAGCTTCTTAAAACAGAGCCAATTGAAGGCAATGTGAGCAAAATGATTGCCAAAAACAACGACCTGGATACAATCTGCAAAACCTGCGAATCAGGCAGCTTAATTACCAAAAGGGTATGGGAATTCAATCCCATCCCACCACCATTCGGCTCCTTCACCTTGATTCCGGCGCTGGTTCTATACCCTTGAGCCAATTCCATGTTTTCACAACAAAAAAGAATGATTTTTGATCTTCGTGCAACTTTTTTCAACTACTAATCCTCCAATGCACCTTCACCAAAAAAGCAGCGAGCAAAGATGCAGACTTTTGAGCAATAATAAAGCCCAAAATCAAGAAATCTTAATTATAATTAATCAGGAAAAAAACCAAAGCCAACGGGGATGGAAAAAGGGATTTAGCGGGTGCAAAATCTGGCAGCGGTGTGGTTTCCACCCACAAGGGCCACACGGGTGCTTCGAGCTCTACACCAAAGAAGCAGCAGCTCCCTGATTCTTGCAATCTCCATACTTTTTTTCATTTTCCTCTCTCTCTCTCTCTCTCTCTCTCTCTGTCGCTGATATTCTGCTGTCCCCTCTCTCTGAATATTTAAAATGGGCAATACAAACGTTGTTTTCTACATCTTATGATGGATTTTGTAACCGACGACAACCTATAAACTCAACCACCACCATGCCCAGAGAGAGAGAGGGGAAAGGGACAAAATCAGAGAAAAGGGCAGCGAGAAATGGAGGAGGAGATGATAGAGGAATATATAGGTCGGGAGCGGAAATGTGTAATTTCCAATCCGGAGTTTAAGCATTAAATACAGTAGTGATGCGAACATCTTTGTGTTTGTTCACATGCGTGTAGGGACCGTGGGGAAGTAGGTTGTGGTCGATAATTATGGGAATAAATTAAGAGGCTTCTCAGCTGGAATTTTGATATAGTTTAGTTTAAAAACCAGCAATTTCTACCCAAATAAGAAATGAATTCCTTGTGGAATTTGTTTGGTTTAAATGGTGGAAATCGAAGCTGGTGAGGAGAGGAAAGAGGGAGGAGGAGATTGGAGCGTTCGTTTTATTGTGTGGCATGAATTAACTTCGCATCCTAATAAATTATGACTTCCCAATTTTTCTCATGCTCTGTGCAAGTTCTTGTGGTTGACGCACGCGGGTGGATCAGAGGCCTTGCTGTACGATGCGATCAGATTCTCAAAGATTTTCTCCTATTTAAGTAAGTGACCTGTATCATATCTTATCTTACATATATAAAGCGAGAATCCGCTTGTGAACAGTAAAAAATGGGCCGGTTATGCCGTTATTTGTGTGAGCTTGAGGGGCGTTTTGGTCTTTTGCTGATGGGTGGCAGTGGCTCTGCTGGTATTTTGCTTTTGTCCGCTGGCTCTCTTGCATTGTAACCTTGCTCTGTCCGCGTGGCTCTTCATTTTGGTAGTCAGCAATGCTCTGTCCGCGTGGCTCTTCATTTTGGTAGTCAGCAATTACTATTAAGTTAGTGGGCGGTTGGGCGGCAAAAGCTTTCTAGAGTCTTCATTCTTTGCTTTATGTATATTTCACCTCACACGCATGTTTGGTTTCCTAAGCTTTTGTGTAATTGCAGTTGCTTTGCCTCCGATGGTGAGTAGGCAGTGGACGGTGTCTCCAGTGATCTCTGGTTTTGCAAAGTTTTCAATAGTCTTCACTTGTTGCTTTATGTATATTACGCCTTATTTTTGTGACTTTGAGGGGTTCTTTGGTCTTTTCCCATTTAGTGGCAATGCTTTTATCCGCTGGCTCTCTTGCATTGTAGCTTTGCTGGGCATTTTGCTTTTGTCTGCTGACTCTCCTCAATTGTAGCTTTGCTTTGTCCGCGTGGCTCTCCATTTTGATAGTCAGCAATTACTATTAGTTAGTGGGCGGTTGGTTTGGTCTTTTGCTGATGGGTGGCAGTGCATTTTGCTTTTGTCTGTTGGCTCTCTTGCATTGTAGCTTTGCTGGGCATTTTGCTTTTGTCTGCTGACTCTCCTCAATTGTAGCTTTGCTTTGTCCATGTGGCTCTCCATTTTGATAGTCAGCAATTACTATTAGTTAGTGGGCGGTTGGTCGGTCAGCTATATCCTTTCTTTTCTCCTAGCTTTTTTTCTTCTTCTTAGGTTCTGTTCTTCTTCTTAGTTTTGTTTAGCAGCTTAAGAAATGCCGTGGAAAGTTTTCTAAAGTTTCCTATTGACGCTTTATATATGTAAGATTTCATCTCACGTGTATGTTTGGTTTCCCAATCTCTTGTGTAATTACAGTTGCTTTGGCTCCCCAGTGATCTGTGGTTTTGCAAGGTGAAATTGGTTTCCCAATCTCTTGTGTAATTGCGATTGCTTTGCCTCCACTGGTGAGTAGGCAGTAGACGGTGTCCTCAATGATTTGTGGTTTTGCAAGGTAAAATCTTTATTGTCTCACTTAGCTGATTTTCTGATGGTTTCTGTAGATTAATGTTTGGACAATGGGTCGGAATAGAATATATAAAAGTTTAGAAGAGGCTAATGCTGAGAAAAATCGAAAGAGACGCGACCAACGTGCTGCTGCTCGCCAAAGGAGAAAAAATGATGTGCCATCAGGAGTGTGTACGCTGGCTGTCACAGCTTTTAATATACGTGAACCAAATACTATTAATCAGCCAAATATGAGTGCTGCAGAATCTTCATTAGGCTCAGACCCAGTGCTGCCATCTACACAGAATAATGCAGAGCAATTTCCAATGGTATGAGATGTTAGCTTTTATCTATTACAGATCAGATTGACTTATTTAAGCGTGTTAAACTCCCAATCTTTAACTATGCTGTCGTTGTATTGCAGGAAAATGAACAAAATGTATCTAGCTCTATTGTTGATAGTGCTAACGAGGTTTCATCAACTAATATAGGTATTGGTCAATCACCATTACGTAGAAAACGTCGATCTGTAAGACGCTCTGTTACTGATCCGTTAGCCACGATAGCTATTGAGCCCACAGTATTGCCTGATGTTCCAAATTGTCCGTACTGTCATGCAAAACGATTTCATCACGAACCGCCTGGTTTTTGCTGTTCCTCTGGTGAGATACAGCTATTATCTACTGAGATGCCGCGAGAGCTTATGTTATTATATATTGAAGATTCTGATCATGCTGTCGAGTTTCGCAGATGCGTTAGAAGCTATAATAATATGTTTGCATTTACCTCGATTGGTATTCATTCTGACAAATCTTTGGCTGCAAATTATAATGGAATTTATACATTTCGAATCCAAGGACAAATGTATCATTATATTAATGCGCTTATTCCAGAGGATGGTGAGAAGCCACGAAACTTGCAGCTTTATTTTTTTGACACTGAGCATGAAACAACGCAGCGGCTTTCAATTTCAGCTAGATTTCAAGAAACACTGGTGACAAAGCTTGAGGAAATTTTAAAGATCAATCCTTACTCTGCATTCTTTCGAGGATTACAAGATTTGCCAGACATGGATGATTATAAGATTGTGCTTGAAACTACGCCTGCTATAGATCAACGAGTTTTCAATAAACCTACTGTGTCACAAGTAGGAGCTGTTTGGACTGATAGTTCAGATTTTGAACATCTTAACTCTAAACATATACAAATTTATGGAAAGAATGGTCAAACGCAAATTGTTAAGCATTACTTTGCTTGTCATGATTCATTGCAATATCCTCTTATCTTTGCAAATGGAGAACCAGGTTGGCATCCAGGGATTGAGAGAATGCGCCGTCCGGATAGAGGCAATATTAGACCAGTTACTTGTGAGGGACAAACTGTTATAGCTACAGCTACAGCAACAACGGCAAATGATATCATTGATGCGGAAAATAGAGGTATTACCAATAATCATCTCCATATAGCATCGTCTATTATCTTTCTTTATCGATAAATAACATAAATATCATTATTTGTTTGTTTCAGCTATTAACCAAAAAAAAAGAAAACGGAACACGGTTTCATGTCGTGAGTACTATTGTTACAAACTGCAAATTCGAGATGCTGATCAGTCAATGTTATTGCATATAGGCAGATTACTGCAACAATACGTGGTCGATATGTATGTTAAGATTGAGTCAATTAGATTAGATTTCCATAGAGGGAGGAACAAACAGGCTCAACTTCGAACTGAGATTTATCAAGGCATAGTCGATAGCATTTCCAATGGTGAATCATCATCATCAGGTATTGGTAAACGTATTTTCCTTCCAGCTTCATTCATTGGTGGGCCTCGAGATATGCGACGCCGATATATGGATGCTATGTCTTTGGTTCAAAGATATGGGAAACCAGACATCTTTCTGACAATGACTTGTAACAAGAATTGGCCTGAGATTAAAAAATTGCTTCTGCCAACTGATAAAGTTGAGAACAGGCCAGATCTAATTTCTCGAGTCTTCCGTGCAAAACTTGAAGTCTTGAAAGATGAACTTCTGAAGAAGAATATATTTGGAAAAATAGCAGCTTACACATATGTAATCGAATTCCAGAAAAGAGGTTTGCCCCACGCTCATTTCTTAATAATTCTGAAACAAGGATGGAAGATGTACTCTCCTGAATCATATGATCGTGTAGTATGTGCTGAGCTGCCAGATGCTAGCCGCCATCCTTATCTTCATGAACTCGTTGTTAAGCACATGATGCACGGTCCTTGTGGTGCTATGAATCCAAAATGCCCATGCATGAAACAACATCTTGGATGCAAGGATAACTATCCTAAGGAGTTTACAGAAATCACACGGCACAGCCACAACTCCTACCCTCTCTATCGACGACGAGATTTTCAGCAATCAATAATTGTTCGTGGCCATCCTCTTGATAATCGATGGGTAATACCATACAATCCCTATTTACTCTCTAAATTTAATTGCCATATCAATGTAGAAATTTGTTCAACAATTCAGGCTGTCAAATATATATATAAATATATCTATAAAGGCCATGATAAAATTTTATATCAGGTGAGTAATACTGGGCCTATTGAAATTGTTGACGAAATAAAAAATTTTGTTTGTGCAAGATGGGTCTCTCCTCCTGAAGCAATGTGGAGAATCCATAGTTATTAAAACCAACCCGGACATCAACCCGGCAAGAGGACCGGGTTGACGGGTCAGTGGTTCAACCGGTGGATCACTGGTTGAACCGTTGGGTCACAATATATAATAAAAAAATATATAATATAATTAAATAAACATGTAAATTATAATATAATTACAGAAATTCTTAAATCCCAACAAGTTATAACCTGTTCATAGTTCATAGTTCATAATTCATTTCACACACATAATCCATAACCATATGTGATCAACAATTCATGAATTCAAACTAAAATCAGTAAATTACACACAAATATAAATGATAAATATAAGTATCAAACCATGAAACATAAGTCATAAACGACCAATTCAATACAACCAAACATAAAGTCATGAACATAAACAACACCACAATTATCACTTGAGTAGTTCACTCCATCTATTATTCATGCCCATGGTTCCCAACTTCTGCCAAATTCAGTACCACCAAATTCATTTACATCACAGCCCACATTAAGATCATTTCTTTCAACATTCTCTTCATTATTGGTCTCATCTTCATCTCCAGTGTCCAAATCATCCAAATTTAGAGTTTCATCTACATAAGTACAAAAATCAATGAATTATTCTCTAAACTTAGATAATATTTAGCCAAAAACGAAAAACAAACTAACAAAGAATAAGCAAGCATATGGCTCAAATAGAATAACTCACCACTTTGTCGGCTGATAGCAAATGTAGCTATTTCATTCCTAAAGCTTTCTAATTCAACTGGAGTTAATTGTGAAGGTTCATCATCCAAAATCCAAGTTTCATTGGCGCTGAAGTCCTCAAAATCAATAGGATCATAATTTCTACCCCTTGCATTTCTAATAATACAAAACATTAAAACTAGTTAAATAACAAATGTCGTCATATTAAAATAAAAATCAGATTGCAAAATGTAGTTTACCTTTGTTGTAGTCTTAAATTGTAGTGTACATAAACCAAATCATTTAGTCTTTGATGCTCCAATCTATTTCTCTTCTTTGAGTGGATATGCTCAAATAAACTCCAATTCCTTTCACAGCCAGAAGCACTGCAAGTTTGGCTTAGAACACGTATAGCTAGTTTTTGCAAATTAGGTGCAGTGCTACCATAACATGTCCACCATTCATCTATTGCAATAAATAAAGGAAAAAAGTCAGAATATAATATTTTACAATTAAAATCAAATCATCAATAAAAATGAAGTTAATTTTTGGGTACCTGGAAGCATGACATCACGATCTCGTATAGCAGAGACTCTACCAAAATCACCTTCAGCTTTACGAAATAATCTCATCTCTCCGGTCAAATTACTCATCAAATCAGGATTTGCATAAGAATATCTCTCAATCACATCCAAAAGTCCTGATGTTGCATGCCTGTGCTTTTCCAAATCAAGAGAATTATATTGATAAGCAGGATTGAGCCAATAACCTGCAGCATGAAGATTTTTGTGAAGCTGACTATCCCATCTTGAATCAATTATTCTTAAATAAGGATCAACTGTTTTTTTTTTTCTTGTGAATCTTCTCAAAAGCTCTTCTCTGGCTCTATGCATGGCAGCACACAAGTATTCCATAGCAGGCCTTTCATCACTATCAACAATTCTTAGAACTCGAACAAGAGGCTCAGTTAATTGAACTATTATAGCACATTCTTTCCAGAATATAGAATCTAGCACAAGATCCACAAATTTTTTTGCTTTACTCTCCTTAGCATATGCTGAAAGAGTCCATTCTTTTGAAGTCACCATAGCTCTTAAAGCATCTTTTTGCACTAAAATACTTTGCAATGCAATGAAATTAGTAGCAAAACGTGTAGGAGCAGGCCGAATAATTTCTTTTCCACCAGTGTGTTTTCTCATCAAATGCAATGGATAACAATGATTATAAATGTATTTTGTTATTTTTGAAGCATGTCCAACCACTTTACTAACCTCATCTAACTTGCCCATATCATGTAGCATCAAATTTAGACAATGAGCAGCACATGGAGACCAATAAAGTGTTGGAAATTCCCTTTCTAATAATCTTCCTGCAGCAACATAATTGGCAGCATTGTCAGTGACGAAGTGTACCACATTTTCCACCCCAACAAATAAAACCACTTCTCTAAACAACTTATACAACATCTCTGCAGTCTTAGAAGCATCCGAGGCATCAACTGATTTCAGAAAAATAGTTCCTCTAGGACAATAAGCTAGAAAGTTGATGAGAGTTCTCCTTTGTTGGTCAGTCCATCCATCAGCCATAATAGTACATCCAGTTTCTTTCCAACTTGTACGAAAGCTATTAACAAAATTCTTAACTTGCTCAACATTTTTTGTCAATAAATAGCCACGCAAGTCATAGAAATTAGGCGCTTTGTAACCAGCCCCAAAAGAACAAGCAGCATCAAACATTGTTTGATAATATGCAGAGTTTGCTGCATTGAAGGGAATGGAAGCATCAATCATCCACTTCGCAACTGCCAAGTCAACCTTCTCTTTAGTTTCTTTGCTTTGCATCACACTTTTGATGGATGGTTGACCTCCTGGAGTAGCTCTTGGCATAAAAAAAGTCCCTATTGTTTTTCCTTTTTTGTGTTGTTGAAGAACTTTTTTTCCTTTTGAAACTTCACTAGTGGGAGGTGGTTGAATCTCTTGAAAATCTTCTACATCTTGCATGTATACCTCCTCTTCATGTTGTCTTAGATCTTGACCATATAAATCACTTCCCCTTGAGCGTTCTTTCAAGCTTCTTTTCTTGCTTTCCACAGCTTTCAAGTTTTCTAGCATTTCAAATCTAATCTGTTCATCAACCTTCAGACAAGGTGTTGTCTCCCCTTTTAAGCCTGCAAGGTGCTGTTTGAATCGATTGATACCACCTCCTCGAATTCTTTTTCCACAATGAATACATACCAAGCACTTAACTTTTTTGTTGGACACAGAATCTTCTCTACAATGAGACCATGCAGGGTCTGTCTTTCCCCTTGTTAGAGGTTGATTTTGAGAATTTGATGTACTAGGTGTTGGTTCTGTACTTGGTGTTTGAGACGGTGTTTCTCCAATAGAGTCCATTACAAGCTATCTGAAAAGTAATAAAACATATCTTTTATTTAAAAAAATAACATTTATAGCTAGGAAAATGACATTTATATAATGCCTTACTGTGAAAAAGTGAAAAAGTGAAACTTAAATGCAAACATAATGGAAAGCTAAATGCCTTACTGTCATTATCCCTTGAAAGTTCGATTGAGATGGATCCATATCACTATTCATGATTTTGATGTTTGGGGAATGAAATGAAATATGGTATCAAGATTCAAGCTATGGGAGGAATCACAAGAAGAATTAAACAACCTTTGTTTATTGTATCTTGTATATTGATTTCTCCATATCACTTTTTTTTTTTGGAAAGAAAAACTACTAAATTATATATGGCATTCCCTTACTACATATAGAAGAAGATGAAAAAGGAAAAGAGAAAAGAAGGTACTATGAGTTATTACTACAAATATTATAAGAAGTGAATGTCCTTTGTATATGCAATCAAAAAATATTTGCCCCGAGCTGCATATTAGCCATTAATATCATAAAATTTTTTGGTAATTCAAGGTGTCTCGACTAATTTAATTGTGCAAGACTAATAATTAAAAAAAACTTATATAGATTTTATTTTGTAACACAAGTTACACAACCTTTCCCAATGCCTTTCTTTTTAAATTTTTTGTTGGATAATATTAAACATAATCTATCGAATAGCTAATGTTCACGTATCCTAATTATTTTTGGCAAGACCAATTCACATGCAATTGATCTAAATCAACGTTGAAACAAAACTCAATTCAGATTATTTGGCATGGTTTAATTTAGAGCAGAAATTCGATGTATGTACTCAAATAAAATATAGTCACATGCTAATGCAAGAATCTATGTCGCATCAGTTATCTGTCATTTTTTTTTGGTGGTACATTTTGCAATTCAGCTGAGCCAATATTGAGGAATAGCTGAGATTTAATTTTTTTTTTATGGATTAGGGATATTCTTGAATACTTAGCTTCAAATACTCTCGAATTAGCTGTTAAACTTGGGCTTGAGGTATTTGCAAGGTGAAATATGGCTCAACCTCTTTTTTTTAACAGAATGGGTTCGTGGCCTTCGGCAACAGACGTAATTAAAATGTCAAAGGTTAAATTTCCACTTTCTTGAAGCATGTCATCAGTTAAATTTCCGTTTTACTTACCTTCAAGGCTTCACTGGTGCTGTGGTCTGTCCGTCTGTGTCCAGCTGCAACCGGCAACAAAGCTTCAGCCTTCAATGGCAGCTTCGGTGGCAGCGGCAGCTTCCTAGAAGAATTCTGACAGGCGGCAGCGGCTGCGGCAACTTCGAACTTCCAAGGTGCCGTGGTGTGTGTCCAGCTGCAACCGGCAACAAAGCTTCACCCTTCAATGGCAGCTTCGGTCGCAGTGGCGCTTCCTGGAAGAATTCTGGCAGGCGGCAGCGGCTGCGGCAACTTCGAACTTCCAAGGTGCCGTGGTGTGTGTCCAGTTGCAACCGGCAACAAAGCTTCACCCTTCAATGGCAGCTTCGGTGGCAGCGGCGCTTCCTAGAAGAATTCTAGCAGCGGCTGCGGCAAGTTCGAACTTCACTCTCAGAGGCTAGAGCAATTAGCAAAGCAAAGGAAAGAAAAATTGAAAGCCGTAGCCCTGAAAAATTGAAAGCCGAAAAATTGGAACATTGCTTGCCGAATCCTTAAATGCTCAAGAAGTTCTCAAATCTCAATTCGTTCTCACTTCTCAAGAGAAACAAAGAAGAAAAGAATCCCTAAATGCCTAAATCCCCAATGACGGCCGAATGCCCAAATGCCCGAATCCCTCTTCAATTTTTCTGATTTTCTCTTCTAATTGGCTAAAAATGTAGCGAAAAGATGATAATGCCCATGTACTGTGAATGGTCAAAATAAAAGAATTGGGTAAAATGGTAACTTCAAAAAAATTGCCAAAACCCACCGGATTTATCAATAACCGCCGGTTCTAGCGGTTCCATGGTTCAACCGTCCGAGTCGAACGAGTCTAGACGGGTTCTTTGCAATTCCGATCTAACTAGTAACCCGGCCCGGTTTGATGACCGGGTCACCGGTTCGAACGGTTCGACCGCCGGGCCGGGCCGGGTTTAATAACTATGGGAGAATCTATGCATTTGACTTAAATGAAATACATCCATCGGTAATTCCTTTGCAACTTCATTTGGAGAATAAACAATCAGTTACATTTGATGAAAACCAATCATTGCAAAATATAATCAATAACCCACGTTCCTCACAAACAATGCTTACAGAGTTTTTTAGCATGAATTGTTATGATGAACATGCCAAGCATTTGAATTGTCTATATATAGAGTTTCCTGAGCATTTTACTTGGAATGCACAATCAAAATATTGGACTAGACGAAAAAAAAAAGAAGTTATAGGTCGTATTTTAACTGCTCATCCTACTGAGGGGGAGCGTTATTATTTAAGAATGTTGTTAATGCATGTTAGAAAACCTACTTCTTTCCAACATTTAAAAGTTGTCAATGGATATGCATGCCAAACATATAAAGAAGCTGCAAATTTACTTGGACTGTTACATTCCGACAATGCTGCTGAACTTTGCTTACAGGAGGCCTCTGCATACCAAATGCCAAGTTCTCTTAGACAACTCTTTGCATCTATACTGGCTTATTGTACTCCTAAAAACCCACGAGAGTTGTGGTTGAAATATGAAGATTTCTTATCTGAAGATATTCGACATAATACATCAGTCCGACCACATTCTGTGCAAATACAAGTGCTTCAACTGATTGATTCAAGTCTTCGGTCTATGGGAAAAAACATTGCTGAATACAATTTAACTGACATTCAGCTTGAACAATTGTCGCAGGACCTAAACAGTAAGGAAGTTGATGTTGAAAAAAGCATAGTTGTATCTAATGAAGATCTTGGTGCATTGGAGCAATTAAACTCAGACCAGAAATTAGCATTTGAGAAGATTATGCATGCTATTGATAATAACATCTCATGTGCATTCTTTTTAGATGGGCCAGGTGGAACTGGAAAAACTTTTTTATACAGGGCTCTACTTGCAGCAATACGATCGAAAGGAGGCATAGCATTAGCAACTGCAACATCTGGAATTGCAGCTTCAATTTTACCTGGTGGGCGTACAGCACATTCAAGGTTCAAAATTCCATTACAAGATAATGATACAGCAACTTGCAATATTGGGAAGCAAAGTGCTATTGCTAAATTAATAAGAGATGCAAAAGTAATTATTTGGGATGAAGCAAGCATGGCAAAACGCAGTTCGATAGAAAAATTTGATGATTCATTAAAAGATATCATGAATAAAGATGCTATATTTGGTGGCAAGATCATTGTTTTTGGTGGAGACTTTCGACAAACACTACCAGTGGTGACCAAAGGGTGTAAAGAAGAAATCGTCAATGCTAGCTTAATAACATCTCCTATTTGGCCGTACCTGATAAAATTGAAACTATCCCAGAACATGCGAGCTCAGCTAGATCCGGATTTCTCTAAATACCTTCTTCGAATTGGTAATGGTATCGAAGCAACAAACCAGAATGACGAAGTCTGTGTACCTGAACGAATGAATTTGGTATTTCTCAATGATGATTCATCAGTTGATGCCTTGATCACCGCGGTATTTCCAGATTTAAATGCTTTTGCTCATTGCCCGGATTCTATTGTTAACCATGCAATTTTAATGACGAGAAATGATTTTGTATTTGAAATTAATAACAAAGTCATTGCTAAATTTCCAGGTACAGAACAGGTATATTTAAGCTATGATGAAGTCCTTGATTCATCTCATCAATCAGAGACACAAGATTTTTTGAATTCACTAATGCCCAAAGGTTTACCTCTTCATAGGCTAACATTAAAGATTAATTGTCCTGTTATGTTGATTCGAAACATCAACCCTACTGAAGGCCTATCTAATGGCACCCGATTGATATGCAAAGAATTTGGAAACAATGTAATACATGCAGAGATTGCATGCGGTTCTCTTAAAGGTAAACATGTCTTTATTCCTCGAATTCCTTTGCAAACTTCTGATGATGATTTCTGCTCAGTTCCTTTCAAAAGAACACAATTTCCTCTGAGATTATGTTTTGCAATGACGATTAATAAAGCACAAGGACAAACATTGGATTATGTCGGTCTATATCTAAAAGAGCCTGTTTTCTCCCATGGCCAATTATATGTTGCATTATCACGTGGCAGGACATCAAGTAATGTTAAAGTATTAATACGACCTCCAAATCTGTTTTCCAAAGTAACAAATCTTACAAAAAATATAGTCTACAAAGAGGTCTTATCTGCAATCATGAATGATTAATGAATATATGCTAGCAATTCATATTGATACAGATTAAGGTATGTTATCTAACTCTTTATCCTAATTTCCATTTCAAATTTATTTTGTTTATACTTCCTTACTGCTTTCTTTGTGAAAGTAGGTAATGCCAAATTTGTTTCACAAATGAACAAGTCTGCTATTTTCATGAAGCATCATCCATCGGCAACCAATAGCCTGATCATATCATTATTAGTTAATATGTTTGATGGCACGAGTGCAGCAAAAAGTGTACATTCCAAGAAAGAAGAAGGAAAAACAAAATGTTCAGCTCAAGGTCTACAATCAAGAAACATGAGCTTTCTTCTACTTCTTAACAGAGAAAGGACTGGTCAAGAACAAAGTCAGGTTTCATCAACTGGCTGGAATAGAAGATGAAGAAAAAGTTGTAATTGTTGTTGATCCTAGAAGTAAAGGCAAAATCAGTGTCAATACTGCCAAGCCTATCCCTCCTAAGTAAGCAAAATTAGCAAGGTACACATACTCCTCTGCAAGTGCAATACATTTGTCATCCTCGATCAACAATAAGTTATCCATACTAGCTTCAGGTCCTGTTAATTATAATACAATTTGCCATGGATTGCCTTTTTCCCCGTTCCATGTTTCATGAGCTGAAAAAATCTGTATCAAGGTGTAGGATTTATCACTTCTTCATTTCCTACTTGATTTATAGCATTTTGATATTGTCCTAAAATTTAACATTTCAAATGCAATTATTTTTTGCAGAACAATTCCTTCTCTATGATGATTACAGACACTGCAAGAATTACCATTTGCTTCTCTATTCCTTCCAAGAAACTGACTTTCTTGGAATCTAATTCGTACTTTTATCTGTTGCCATTTGTCTATTTTCATCAGGAAACTTCAATATTTCTGCAAGATAGCATATTCACTACTGAAAAGTGAAAATTTGATCACTCTATTAGAGTTATATTCTGAATTTGGCATAACAAGCTCACAGTTGCTGAAGATGACTGCTGTCAAAAGAAAAAAGCAAAGTTTCAGTAGAATCAGTAATATATCCAGGCAAGAATCTTTAGAGTATTCTATAATTGGAGGGCTAGGCTTTTCAACATTAGTTTTTTGCAATGATCCTCTTCTTTTGCCCTACTTTTGTGGCATTTTTAATCCTTTTCCAATCTCTTATCCTTGTGACCTTAAAAAGATCAAAATGTGCAGGTTTTAGGTGAGAATGACGTCTCTCCAGCTGGATGTGCAGTATCTGTTGTAAACGAAGTGGTATCTGTCTACCTGGAACTTCGAGGGAGCATTAATACTGAAGCTGAGCGTGAAAAGCTGAAGATAAAGATGGAGGAGATTCAGAAGTAAGTGACATTTCTGATCTTAGATTATCAATAACCATCGGATTTGTGTCCAGGAGCTCAGCTCAAATGCCCCTTCTGAGTACATTGAAGTATTGTAGCTTATCAATAATCCCAGTATTTTCTGTCAAATTGCAGTAAATTTTCCAGTAGTTTTTATATGGTTTTGGACCATATTTTGCAATTAATTTCTAGAATTTTAATGCAAGGGGAATTTAATAAGCCTAACTATCATGCATCATTGATCTTGTAGCTGGTCTACCTGAGTTCATAGGTGTTACTCTGACAAATCAGTCAAGATTTTTGTTCCGAAATGTGGCATTGATGTTTCAAAAAACAGAAGGTACATGTTGTAGGTAATCAATTACTGCACTGTTCTGCTAATGCTTCTCCAGATACAACATTTTAGAATAATTCTAAAACGATGATGCACAGAAAACTTTGGCTTCCCTTTTCGTTTTCCTCTTTCCCTTATTCTCATTTTCCTTTCAGGAGGAAGAAAAGCTCCTACTTCGTCATCCTATACACTTCTTTCTCATGTTCTTTGCCCAATTTTATCACTTCCAAAGTTTTTATGTCCACATTTGTCTCGTCCTTTTGCAAGTCTTGAACTTTCCATTGCTGCCTTCTTCTGTTGTTAAATTGCTTAAAGATTGCTGATCTGCAATTGGTTTTGATTTGTTTAATCTGTATTTCGTGTTTTCTTTTTCACCCAGTATATAATAAAGATTTGGGAATAATACCAGGATATTGAAATAAACAACAGGTTAGTTAAAGTATACAGCAATCATAGAAGTTTCCAATACATCAAGTGCATCGATTTGAAAATTGGAGATGTAATGAAAGTGAAGAAGGATGAATTCTTTCCTGCTGATCTTGTTTTGCTTTCATCAAGTTATGAAGTCCAAATAATACCGTACCACGACATATCTGGAATAGTCGAAGCAGGGCAGCATTAGCTGCTGCAGCGACAGCTTGTACAAATGCTGCTGTTTGAAGCTGAACCATATTGAAGATTCATTAGACATATACTGCCATAGGAAGGTTATGTTTATAGCTATATGATTTTTGTGGCTGATTCTGTTTCTACAGAGCATTTGGTTTTGGTGTCGCACTTTATCCTTTTGTTGTCAAGTGCCATTTTCACTAAGTATAAGGGTTTTCATTTTAGAAATTCGTAAGTTTATTCTCCAGCTTATGAATCAAGTATTTGCGGTCCAGTTCTCCCTGTATAATGTTTTCATCTTTATTAGGAAAATATTAGCCGTACATCTTTCATTTCTCCTTAACTACTTGCCTTGCTTAGAGCTTTCTGGTTCTAAAGACTTTCCTGCATAAAAGGTTTTGAACTACTGCATCAGTCATTATTATAATCAAGTGACACCTTATCGCTTTTTTTTATTGACGAAAAATCATGAAATCCTTCTTAAGAAATCATGATTACAACAAAAAGTTTATGATTAAATATAAGTTACACATCTTT